TGCGGTCTCTCTGAGGACCGACGTGCGCAACACCCACTGCGCCACCGGTTGCATTTCCGGTGGCAGGATTTTGTGACGGGGTGCGCTCGGGTGTTTTTCTTCTTTTGGTGGTTGTTCCCCTGCTCCCTATTGCGCTTCCCGCATCCGTCGGTGACGGATTGGGCATAGGGGGTCGCGCGTCGGTCTCGCGTGCAACAGACATTTTGAGGACTCTGTCACGGGCACATTTTGGCCAGGAAGCGTCTTCTCCATGGCGGCTGCTCTTGGTGTCGTTCGAATCATTTGAATTAAAACTAATACTACAATTTAATTACGCGATCTTCTCGGGGAGATCTGCTCGATAATTCTTTACGCGAAAAAAGGAACTTATGCTTCACCCATTTGATCTAGAGCCTAAGAGATGGCAACGTTACAGGTTATCAAGAGACACGGACGTGTCTCGCGCCCAGTTCACGCGCAAGGCGCAATGATGAAAGAGCGATCGTGTCTCTACACGCAAAACCACGAGCTGAGAGGAGGCGAGATTATCGGATCTCAGTAACACCTGGGTCGATCGATTTGAAAATAGGCTCAATCGATTGTGCGTGCCCAAATATATAATAACGGAGAATGTTTTGATACTCGAATGTACAGGGTGTCACATAGGAAGTTGCTGTAAGTAATTAGATGTCATTTTTAAACGCACATAGGGAGCAAGGAAAATAAAATAGCACAAAAATTCATAAATGATAAAGTGTGGCCAAGTTCCAAAAAAGACACTCCAATATGTTCATATTTTAATAAATATCTAAATTTTTAATATATCACCAACATGAAAAGTAACTGATATGTTATTCAAGGTGCAAATTCAAAATAAACACATAAAATATTCATAAAATGTATAAATAAAACTGATCAAAATTTGATTGAATAAAATTTAATTAAAATAACAAAATATTTATTAAAAAATACAAAAAAACTTGGCGCTGCCACACCGAACAACATGTTAACTTACATAATGTCAATTAATTACATGATGTCAATTAATTATTCTATATATTACATTATTACTCATTTTCATTGTCTCATAATACTTTGAGGTGTAA